TGCTTATTATGTTTCAGTTGTTATGTGCATTGATTATGTATACTATCAACTGTTGGATGGATTAGATTGTATATACCGGTATGGGACGGTGACATACTAGGTTTGGATTAGCTCAAATTGCTAAGTCCTACCTACTTTGGAATAAGGGTACGGATCACAAAAATAGAATCCTTCTTATGTATAAGTCTGTGTTGTTGAATAAGCTGAACGACTTAAGTCTGTGCAGTTGAATAAGCTGAACGACTTACTGGATTTCTTATGGATGAATGTGAATAGATTTTAAATATATTATTGTGGTACCGTAACTTGAGCTTGAGTCTCAGAGTCAACGGTTAGGGAGCGTATATGCAATAGGATGCGTAACTGGCTATGTTGGTTGAGGTGTACCCTGTTAGGCTTAGGTAGTCATGCCCACTCAGGTGCGTTTTGCATGTTACCTTCTAAACAGGTTGAGACCCGTATCATAGTCCAGTGAGAGTCCATAATGTGGATATATATATATATAGACACGGATTATATAGTTATTGTCGATTTGGTTAGAGTGTATATGCGTATCGAGTCTCTGCTTGGATTGTAGTAGGTTAGAACTTATTCGTGGGCCTGACCCACTCCTATTTTTCAGGTGTACGTCAGTTCCAGGCTTAAGCTTGTTCATGCTGAACAGAAACGATCTTCCATTCTATCGATTATGTAGGACTTCTTTCCAGATATTGGATTTGGTTTTTATCTTTAGTTTTACTTTCATTCAGTTTGGGATTTCTATTAGGGGTCCACTGGAGATGGATTCCCGAATTGTTTAACTTATGGAGATTGTTTTGGATTATTGGGATTTAAGTATATTTAATATTAAAGGATTTTATATTTTAGTTTCTTTCAGCTCATTACATTATTTTTTTTTTAATCACTTTGTATTCTGTGTCCGTTTTAACATATTAATTGTTTGATATCCCTCGGGTTTGGGCCTGGGCCTGATCAACCCGTGTCTCGGATCCGAGGGGTATCACAGTAGCCGACGCAGGTTTTAATTAAGTTTTCTCTGAGCCGATTAGGATTCTGTTAGGGCTTGAATTAATTTAAGTTTTGTATAACTCTATAAATAAGCATAATAAAGTTAGGCCTAGGGTTTTAGAACCCTATTCACGTCTGTGGAGGTAGAGAAAGAACAGATGAAGATTTCAGTAGGAATTGCCGGAACTTTTGAAGACGACGTAGAGATTTTGAACAAAAGTCTCAATGGCAAGTTCTAATCCTAGCTCTTTTCCTTTGGCTCGTGTTCTTTGCACGTCTAATACAACTCCAGGGGTAGATGAAACACTAAAAATTGAACTGGTTCGCATGTTTGTATGTTTTTCTAGCAGTATGTGTTTTATGAACTGTTATTTGCTTGTTTTAATTTTCTTGCTTATCCCATGGTTTAATTAATGATAGATGATGATTAAAACCTTTAAATTAGTTCTGGAACACCTTGGGGAAAATATTAAACTGAATATAATTCGCGTGGGTGATCACTTGAACAGCACGTTCATGAATGGAAAATTATCCCGATTTAAATTCTTTGTGTCACAATTCATGTTTAATTGATATCGTTGATTGAATAAGGAATTAAAATATTTCTTGATCACACTGGAATCTAATTTAAACACTTAGGACTAGGGATGAAGGTCAGTTCATCAAAAACTCACTGGAATTGAAAACGATGAAAACACAGGAAGAGAGACGGCTCAAAGTTTAAAGAGCAAGCTCTTAAATCAAATAGCCGGCTCTTAGGGGACTTAGAGCCGGCTCCAAGACTAGGAGATCTGGCCCCTAGCAAAGAAGAGCAGGCTCTTCTTTTAAAAGAGCAGGCTCTTTCAGTTGGGTTCCAGTTTTTGGTTTTTCTGCAACCTGTTTGGCTACGAAACTTGGATTTTGGGATTTTCAGATTATGGAGGAAGCTATACTTGGGTATTTTGAGGTGTTCTATGTCTTATTAACCCTTTAGAGAATGGATTAATGGGAAAAAAAAAAAATCAACGAATGCTCGGGCTTGAACCGTAGACAATTGTTTATTAAACTAGTTTACTGTTTTTGGATGGAAAGGATTTTAAAATTTCTTAAAATCTTAAATCGAAATTTTTTGAGTAAATTTGTCTGTTAATCAGGTTCTTGTGATATTAAATAAGCGTGTGAATATTTATATTATAATATGCTTATTTGGAATTAAAGCGGTTTACTGTTTCTGGATGGATAGTACTTTAAATTGCTTAAATCTTAGGATAGCAATTCTTAGTAATGGTTTGATAGTTAATTATGTTACAGTGTTCTAAAACTAAGCATCTGAACTCTTATATTCTGTTATGCTTGCTTGGAGGTAATTGGTTTACATGTATAATCTGTAAAATCAATTAATGTATTCTACGGAATGGTTTTGATCAAGACTGTTAATTTACGAAATTTTAGCAGGCTTGATATGGAACAATTAATGCTTATGTTTTAATATTTCTATTATCAATTTTGGATTTTATGGATTAGTTGATAGTTATAATTGTTATTTGTTCTATCAACTGCTGGATGGATTAGATTGTATGCATCGGTATGGGACGGTGACATACGAGGTTTGGATTAGCTCAAAATGTTAAATTCTACCTATTTTGGAATAAGGGTACGGATTATAAAAACATAATTCTCCTTATATTTAAGTCTGTGCGGTTGAATAAGCTGAACGACTTACTGGATCTCTTATATAAGTCTGTGCGGTTGAATAAGCTAAACGACTTACTGGATTTCCTATGGATGGATAGGAACGGATTTTAAATATATTATTATGATAACGTGACTTAAGCTTGAGTCTCAGAGTCAACGGTTAGGGAGCGTATATGCAATAGGACGCGTAGCTGGCTATGCTGGTTGAGGTGTACCCTGTTAGGCTTAGGTAGTCATGCCCACTCAGGTGCGTTTTCCATGTTACCTTCTACTCAGGTTGAGACCCGTATCATAGTCCAGTGAGAGTCCATAGTGTGGATATATATATATATATATATATATAGACACGGATTATATAATTATTGTTGAGTTGGTTAAAGTGTGTATGTGTATCTAGTGTCTGCTTGGATTGTAGTAGGATAGAACTTGTTCGTGAGCCTAACCCACTCCTATTTTTCAGGTGTACGTCAATTCCAGGCTTGAGCTTGTTCATGCTGAGTAGAGGCGACCACTCATTCTTCCGACGACGTAGGAGCTTTATTCATATGGTTTTCTTTTAGTTTTTCAGTTCAGTTTGGTTTTCTTATTAGGGGTCCATAGGATGGATTCCCGAATTATACCTTTGGAGGTTTTGGAGTTGGATTATTATTATCTGGGATTTTAAGTATTTAATTTTAAAGGATTTTATATTTTAGATTTTTTACAGTTTAAACTATTATTTCTTAAATTCATCTTGTATTCTGTGTTCACTTTAAAATATTAATTGTTTGATATTCCCTCGGGTTTGGGCCTAGGCCTGATCAACCTGTGTCTCAGATCCGAGGGGTATCACAATTTAAGGAAACAATACAGGCAAAGCTAAATTAAGTTATTAGCTAAATGTGAAATATTTGGACCTGTCTTCCAAACACCTAGGGGTGACAAGCCTAGTTGGTACAAATGGGTATTTATACGAAAGCAAAATAAGAAAAATGAAATTATAAAATATAAATTCCGACCAGTAGCTTAAGTTTTCTAATAGAGACTTGGAACTGATTATACACACTCTCCTGTAATGGATACAATCACATTTTGATTCTTAATTAATTTAGCAATCACAGAAAGACTAGTTATACATCTAATGGATGTGATTACAACATATTGATACAGATCACTAGATAGTGATATTTATATGACAATCCTTAAAGGATTTAAAATGACTGAAACAAAATCACGTAGTATGTACTCGATAAAACTACATCGGTCCTTATATGGATTGAAGTAATCTGAGCGCATGTGATAGAGAATACTTACTAAAAGAAAGGTATATGAATAATCGAATTGATCCATGAATTTTACTAACAAATCAGACTTTGGTTTTTGCTATTATTGCAGTATATGTTAATAATCTGTATCTTATGGATGGAATCCCTAAAGAACTCATAAAAACTACCACTTATTTAAAGAAATAATTCAAGATGAAAGATCTCCAAAACAAAAATTTTGTCTCGAATTGCAAGTTGGACATTTATCAAATGGAATTTTCATCCACCAGCCAAAGGGTCATGAAGCACGTTTATATGGATAAAGCTCACCCCTTGAGTTTTACAATGGTTGTCCGATCACTTGATATTAAAAAATATTATTTTCGTCCTCGAAAGGATGATATAGAACTTTTGGTTCTGAAATGCTATATCTCAGTGCAATCAGTGCTCTTATATATCTTACAAATTGCACACGGCCTAACATAGCTTTCCACTCAACTAATTAGCAAGCACCACTATATCATGACGATCTGTGAATGAGACAATGATTGTACCTTATTCAAATTGTTGTGAGATACTTGTGATTCATGAGGCAAACAGGAAATGTTTCTAGTTAAGATCATTGATCCAACATATTCGAGAAACATGTGGTCTCTGCTCAACAAAAGATGGGTCAACTATGTTGTATAAACATAATGTTGTATGCATTACACATATCAAAGGAGGTTATATCAAAGACTTTTTCACTCAAGCACTGCTATCTATAACATTCAAGAAGCTGGTGCACAACATTGTGATGTATCAGCTTAAGGATCTTTTATAATGCAACAACTATACTTATAAAGGGGACCAATTGATTGAAAATCATTGAATTAATGCAGGAAATACACAAATGAGAAGGAGCAAATAATTGAAAAAGGTATTGGCATACTGTACTCTTTTTCCTTTGCCCAAGTTTTATTCCACCAGATTTTCCTGATAAGGTTTTAATGAGGCAGTTCTAATCCATGCAATACCCATTCTCAGACACATAATAATAATGTACTCTTTTTCTTCTTTTTTTTTCGCTGGGTTTTTCTTAATAAGGTTTTACTGAAGCATGTTCTTAGTGTGATATTATGGACCCCAAAGGAGATTGGTATAGATTTATAAGTGTATGGGGTCCACACTTGATTAATTAGTATGTGGTTTGTAAAAGTGATTTGCAACTTGATACATGGTGTTGGTGAAGATAGAGAGAGAAATACCAAATTGCCATCAAAGCTTCCAATTTCCTTCAACTTTTGTCCAACAAATTTGTTCTCTGTTCATCAGAGATTGGATTTCCTCTCCCCGTAGAGGTCCTTTGTCAATCAAAGTTTGGAATTCTTAACCATGGTGGTGTGCACTGCGTGGTTTATGAAGATTGTGATGACTTTCGTCTCCTCTCCATTCCGACGACCCCGTGGGTTGTCTCTCCGGAGAGGTACCTATGGATTGAATGTCAATTTGGGGTTTTTGAAAATTGGAAAGTTTGCTGCTCCTTTTTTTCGACTTTTTTCCTTTTGATCCGGGTATTACTACATTGTCTTTGTTATCTTTGTTAGTGTTAATCTTATTTTTGTACTTGTTTGTTTTCAGTTTTCTCGGTTTGCCTTCCTCTCTATCCATGGTTTTTTCTCCATGGCTTTCCGTGGAGGGTCAACCAATTGGTAGTACTGCACCTATCCCAGTTGCAAGATCTCTGGTTCAAAAAAGCAATATTTTGGTGTTTGGATCCGTTGGTCATCGCTCTACTCGACGATGCTTCTCTGTTGGAGTTATCGTTGATGGCGACTCGTCGCCGCCGTCCTTGCAGTGCGATTACATGGTTAAACTATGTCCTTGTTCAAGTCTCCAAGTGTGCAATCAAAGTTTATTTGTTTTGGTTGCTGGTCCGAGTCGAAGTTGCTGCTCTGTTGTGAAGGCTTCAAAGTTTAGGGATTTGCCGGCGAATTTATTTCTTCCTCCTTCTCGGTTGCAGGCGACTTTGGTTCCTTCCCGAAACCCACGTCATCTTATTGTCTGTCAGAATGAAACTCAAAAATTAACAGTCACGATGGTTCTGTACCATCAGCGTAGTGGGTACAATACTTTGGGTATTTATATTGGTGCAGTGGGCCCTATGGGGTGTCTTATCTTGCCTCCACCAAATCACTTAGGTGGTTCACAGGCAATGGTTTATCCGATGACTATGGATTTTGTGGATATGGGTTTTGATTTTCGTCAAACCCACTTTATTATCACTATTGTGGGCAGCCTCTATGTCCTGTCATCCGATTCATGGTTTTATAGGCTTTCTATGCATGTTGATCTAGGTGTGTTCTATGTTTTTGTGTGTAGTGTTGTTTGGTTGGGTTGTTCGTCGTAAATGTAGTATGGCTGTTTCTGATTACGAGGGTAAAAAACAAAAAAATTGCAACTTGACGCAACAAGTGGCCAAATGTGCGTGGTAATCAAGTTACCTCATTTTACGTGTTCCCCGAGACTAGCTTTTTATGTACACTCCAAGACTATATATGGTGACTATATATGATGGTGTATTCAATGTGTAACTAGAAAACTAAACACTCTCTCTCTCTCTCTCTCTCTCTATATATATATATATAATCCTTCCATCTTTCTCTAAACACTCTCTCTCTCTCTCTCTCTCTCTCTATATATATATATATTGCTTTGGCTTGTATCAAAACTTGTTTTATAACAATACCAGCGATTTCTCCTTTTTTTTTTGAATTATATACCTATAAAATTTTAATATTATTCTGAAATTACAAAAAATATAAATAAAAAAATTATATTACTGTTCTATAAGCCATGTGGTCTGCCACGGGGGCTTATGTACCTCCAAGAAACTTATATAATTGTCTAGGCCTGCAAACTCGCTGCTTTGCCAGTGATTAATACATTAATAAAGTCTTCCTAAAGAATTCAATTCAACTTGGTCTCTTTTTGTTTCGATGTAAAATATATTTTTAAAAAAAAAATTTCTTGTTCAAGTAAAATATTTTTTTAATTTTATTTTTAATATTTGACAAAGATCTAGGGTGAAGTTGAGATCGAGTCTATCAAGTCAACGTATAAAATAACTTATCAAAAATGAATAAATAAATTATTTTCATTTTCTTCTTAAATATTTTTTCTTCTTAAATATTTTTTTATAAGATGATTGATGAAGGAGGGATTCCTAATTCTAGAACATAGACAATTATGATTGAGCACCTTGTGAATTTGGGAAAATTGGATTCAGTATTGAGACTTTTCTTCTTTTGTACAAATAATCAAATTGATTGAATTACAAATTCTAATAAATTAATAATTTATTCAAATTCAAAATAGATAATTCAGTTGTTTATTTATTTTTATTTTCTTCATTTTACCCTTGTTTATATAACTATAATGCAAGACCTTTTTATTTGGATGAAAGAGAATTTTTTTTCCCAAAAATTAATTGGGTTAATAGATTGGGCTTTTGATACACTAAGGATTAGGACATTGACCTCGGAAATCCTAGGTCCAAAACAAAAACAAAAAAAAAATCCAATATTAGGCCTGCGCAGTATGCATATTTGTGAGCTATTTATCTGTTCATACTTCATGCCAAACATATAGAAAATTTTAACGTGCATTTTAAGTGGTTTTTTTTTTTTTTTTTCCCCGACATAACATGCATTTTAAGTTAATATATAAGCAATCACAATTTATATATATATATATATATATATATATATATATGGTATGTATTTTCATTTATAGAAACTGTTCTAACAATAACACTACATTTTTTTTTTTTTTTTTTTGACAATTTGTGTCTAAAATTAATTCGGGTCATCTTGTTCGGTGTGAATTGACTTGCCCATTTAACATCCAATTCATTTCCGACAATCCATTTATGACCCGTCATAAATGAATTGATAACGAGTTACTGACCCATCCAAACTTACCCAATTGCAACCCCCTATTTTGAACATATATTGTAATTGAGAGTATATGGAGTAAGTGGGTTAAACTCTATTTTATCGAAGGCAACAGCAAACCTCAATCACTTTCATTTCGCCTATCTATATCCGAATAACAATCACATTCATCATTTTTTTAAGATATACCAATAATACCATATGATTTAGTGATTTCTCTGCAAGGGACTTTCTGTAAGCAATAGCATCTTCATTCAAAATCATTTAACAGTAACCAAATAAATAAAGCCCTGTTTGGCTAAAACGTTTTAAAACGAAACCATCAAAGTTCAGAGAGAGCAGACCCGAGAGACATTTCTATGGACATTTACACGAATGACCAGCATATCGAAGTTTTCCAACATCTGCTAAGTTGAGAAGTTGAGATTTTGATCCCGGATCAAATCAAGCAATGATGGAGTTTCCAACTTCTACACAGACAAAAGGAGCTTAGTAATCTTACTCATCCATCAGTGAAGAAGATTGACTTGGTGTAGGGCTGACACTTCCACCTCGACTCAACTTGAGTGCGCTTAAAGCCTTTTGTATTTCCATCGTCATGGCACTGTCCACGCTGCCTGAAGATAGCTTCTTGTGTGCTTTCTGCAAATGAAGCTTCAGTGAGCTGCTGCTCAAACCAGCATTCTTTCCGCAGATGGGACAAACTTTCATCATTGGTCTCCGTTGCTGCCATTCCATGGAAACCTTCCCGTGCAACTTCAGATCAAAGCCCAAAAGAATCCTTGCAAACCCATCGTTGGGCTGCGCTCGGCGGTGAACTCGTTTTACGGTATTCCAAGCTTCCAATAAAGTTAAATTCCTGCATTACACCAAAACAAGAATGATCATGTTCTCACGGAATTCCTGCATTACCCAATACAACTTTGACAGTGATTTACTGAAAAACGAAAACATCTTTGATTTACTGAATCACGAAAACATCTTTGAGAGTTTACTTTTCGACAACACTTGTCCATGCATGATAGATTAAAGCAAAATGAACTACAATTGGGTAGGTTCCATGCAAAACATAGACCTTCACTATAAATAAAATCATTTGTATGCCACAAACTATAGTTCAGCTATATAGATTTCACTTACTTCCTGAGCATTAAGTAAGCAATAACTATTGTTGCACTTCTACTTCTGCCTTCAAAGCAATGCACCAGAACCTTTCCGCCTGTTTCTTCAACATGATAAATAAAATCATGTGCTTCTTCAAAGATATTGCTGATGTTAGCATCTTCGTTATCACATATCTGTTCATATGAGGCAAGTCATCATTACAAGATGCCACAGAAGTTAAGAACTGATGCATGGTGGAGAGTTTTATACTATAAGACCTAGGCATTCGTCACTACCTTCAAAGCATTGATGCAATATTAGAGAATCCACAAGGCATCTAGATATATTCACCACATTAATGATATTAAATTAATAATGTAACTTACATTATCAAATAGTAGTTCATTCCAACAAAAAACTATATAAAGAAAAGAAAAGGGACCAAATAAGATTACTGAAAGGAAGAAACAAAAGTGACAAGAGTCCATAACAAAGTTAGGCGACATAGCATCCCTATAAAATCTCCAAGCTATAGTAGCAAGATAGATTCTTCAATAAATTCTGTCAAAATAGCTGATCTGGGATAAATAAAGGTCCAAGCTCTAAAGATGTCAATTGTCAAAAGTAGGGAAGGAACATTTCCAAGAAGCCAATTGCTGTCATGTCATGCCCCTTACTTACATTTGAGGAGAATAATATTATTGGAAGGGCTTGAATACTTTTGAGGAGTCTGGTCCAAGAATAATAAAGGGTCCATCAATACATACATATATATTATATAACCAAAAACAATATTCCAACAACTTATTGCCCTTTTGAATTCAAAGACTCTTTCAACTTGTTCCTCCAATTTAACCTCAGAACTGTATTGATTTATCGTCATTTGGTTTATAACTAACATGACGATCACTCTCTCGCTATAGGTTATATGTAACATTTTCTTATTTACCAAACCATGTTCATTCTGTCTTGCTATGTCGCTCTTTAGTAAACGATTGGCATTTAGGTTGCTTTCAGGATTAATCCATGTTTAGTTACAGTGTTACACTATTGACATTGTTATTTCAATAAATAAATAAAAATATCTTTTTAATATCATTATAGGCTTATACATTACCATGTTACTATTTATCAAAGCAGTTCAGTTTGCTTGGGCTCTGTGGATGAAACAAGTTTAAGCTAAGCTGTAATGCACAAGGAAGAGTACACAGACCTCAATAAAGGACCAGTGATTAGCATACATATTTCAGCATAAATTATTTCTCTCAGGCCATAGTAATGTTGCTTTCACGTATAAAGGGAAATTTTGATATGTTGCCTTCATCTTTCCCCCACATTAATAAAGTAGGGAGAGTCCGTTGATTCTCAAAGGTCATGTATAGAAATCTTTTGCAATACTTTCAACTAAACTAGGCAAAAATCCAATACTATTGTAGCATGAAGTCGCACATATTCAGTTCCCATACATCAAAGTTCCACAGTAATAATATTTCTCAAGAAAAGGTGTAGGAAGTTATAGAATCACAACAGAAAACAAGGCAAATCACACAGTAACTAAAACCATAAAAGGAAGGGAAAGGAAGAGATCCTTAGGATGCTTTCAAAACAGCAGTCATCGTATAATATATATATACACACACACACACACGTATACAGGGGAAATGATAAGTAGGTCTTCTTTTTAGGTCAACTGAATAAACCAAATTGACCAGGCAACCAACCCTGTCTCTGTCAAGTATTCGGTCATGACCTTCAAGGACTTCGTATTATATTAGCACTGTTCTGTGTGTGTGTGTGCGCCCGCGCGCGCATGTGTCAGATATATATATATATATATAATACATAGCACTAGCAATACTCTGCAGAAGAATAAACAATTTCCAGTATAAGAAAATAAAGAACAAAGCACTTACAGAAAAATTCTTGTACCCAAATAACTCAGGATACTGAGAATCTGACTGCCCAATTTCATTAGAGCACAAGCACAATATATGTGTTATTCCTAAATGTTGCAATGTGTTTATGGATCTTGCAGCTAGAGCCCCACCAATAAAGAGGCTACTCAAAATTGATGATGGCCTCTCAGTATTTGCAGCATCAGATATCAATGCTATTCTCTCGAGGATGTGTTCAAGTCTGACCTGTATATTTTAAAGAATACAAATAAAGGACAAATAATTATATTATCTACTGAAAAATATACATCCCAAGAGAGTGAAAGTGAACAATGTTCCCTATATGCATGAAATCACATCCAAAGTTTACCTTCAACTCATACGCATCAATAAAGCTATTATTACCACCACATTCAAAGAAACCAGTATTAAAATTGTTATCCTGGCATAATTTAACTGCATCGTTTCTAAGAACTTCGTTCCATTGCTCCAGTTCCTTGTTTAGTTCCACATCAACCTGAAAATTATTTTGACAATAAAATATGGGGTTAGAGTAAAACTTGGTTTGGGGACAAAAATTCTGCAGATCAAGAAAGCTGAATGAGGTTTAAATAAATTCACACAAAGAAAACAATATCTTCAGCAAAAAAACATACACCATAGGGAAGGAATCCCTTCAAGAATATTTACCCAGAATCATCACCACACTTGCACTGTATAATCCAAAAAAAACAAGACCAACATCCATAATCCTATCTAGAGAATGATGCATGTCTGGACAAAGAAAAAAAAAATGGTTTTTTGAATACATGGTTGTGCTTTAAATAAAACCATCTAACTCTTTTTCCCAGTACTCTTCTAGTTCCACTTCCTCTATAAATAAAACAGACCTTAGCAAATTTGTGGAAATCACGTAGCTTTGATGTCAAATACAGGCTATTCATGGGTTCCCCACCGCCTTTATTTAGCTTTCCATGCAAAGCATCTCGTAAGTTTGGAGAACTAGAGTCTGAGCTCACTTTGCATCCTGAAGATGATGACCTCGGACCTGTTCTTTGAAGATCTGGATCATTCAAATCTGGATGGTTATCAGGCATAGCCCTTTCCTTACTTGGTGAAGGACAGTGAATACCAATCCCTGCAGCCTGTGACAGTGACTTATGAACCATCAAATCTTCTTTGTCAATATCACCAGAAGATCTGTCTATAATATTCAGAAGTGCTCGCAATAGGCTATCCAATTTTTGATTAAGCGTGAGTAAGAATATATGAAATCCCTGCAAGTCCCTTAGAGCTGCACGGAACCCATTTCGGAATTCATGAACAACTGAAGTCATGTCAGTTAAACACAGATGACTTGTTGAATCAGCATCTTCTGGTGAAGATCCCAATTTCCCTCCGGTTATCTCATGTAGCAAATTTGACGAGAACTTGGAACTGTTTAAGAGGAGCTCCACCAGCTTAGGATAATTGGCTTGGTCATTTGCACGTTTTCCTGCTGGAGGTCGGCGAGGAACAACAGAATCAATAGCCACAATATGAAAATCAGAAACTTCTGATTTTATCGAAGTGGGACTTTTCAGGCTTATATCATTGCATTTTGGTGACTCCCGAGCATCAGAAAGACCAGAGCTCTGAGAAACTAATTCTGAATTAGCAGAGCTCGATCTGCTATATAATGAAATTGACCTTCTTTCTTTCTGCAGAGCCCGAATTACCCTAGGTCTATACCGCTTGATGGCAGAATCAAAGGCTTCCTCCAATGCATCCATATTTGTGGACGCCATTTTGTCAGCAAACAATAAATTTGCAGAATTTCCACGCCATCTGAGCTGACGGTAAGGAAGCCTATCTTCATTTCTGATGACAAGGTCCAACATCAAGATCCTGCCAACCGCAGCTGCCATCTTTTCTGCAACTTCTTGTGAATCGAATCCAGTTGAGCTTTCCAATAAAGGAGATCCATGTACATAACTGCAAAGAATTATTTTTTGGTTTAAAAGAAACAAATCAAAATCTAATAATTACTATAGTTTACATTTTATGGGGCTTTGCATCATGGAATTCCGTGCTTCCTCCAGTACTCCTGTCTATATGTCAGGGAACAAAGTGATCCAATCTGGGTATTGGTTGCTCATTTAATTGCCTTAGTTGCTTAAATTCACAATTTGAAAAGGCAGGCTAATCATACGCTCACATTTGCTCTGATAGGAACAAAGGCAGTAGGCTGAAAATGTCAACCATCAGTTTCCACAAAAATGATTTTTTAGCAAACTGTTCAGCCCGATTAGACCCAGATCACCTAAAAAGAATGGAATTATTTACTAGCATAAGAGATGGTATATTGCCTGGTTCTATCTGCCCTCAGAACATATAGTAATCAGACAGCAAGTGGTACGACCGTACAAGGAAGCAAAAATATTCCATGATGCAGCATTGTAACACCTCATTTAGAAAGAAATCAGGTTCTGTAAGCACTTCATCAGAAAAAGACATCGGCTTAGGTCAAGAGCTTCCGAAAGTTCTGCACATGTCACTTCACCAACTTCATCTCCTTCTGCAATTGCTGCATCTTTCGCTTTTTCTGCTGCTTCCTTGATCTGCAACCACTCTGGACTAGAATTGTGAATGACTCTGGCCTGAAATGCTTTCAAGCAAAATATTTGCAAGGTCAGTTTTTTTGGCCAAAGAGTAAAAATCAAGTAACGGCTGAAGTAATAAGGTACAACTTGTGGAGTTTGGACTCCTAGCCACTTTGCAAATTCATAGCCAAGACGTTCTGACTGTGTGGCCATCCTTGAAGATGATATCTTAATAACAGCTGCTGCTTCCTTGGGGGATGTTTCATCACTCCCAGGTTGGTTGAACAGGGCAAAAAAGACAACTCCCCCAGAATTCACAGTGACCTGCATCCAGTACAAAGTAATAGAAAGAATATGAACAATAGTATATAAAAGGGGCTGGCCCAGTGCACAAAGCTCCTACCATTGTGAGGTTTGGGAAGGGTACGCAACCTTACCTCCTCATACAAAGAGGGTTTTCCCGTCTCAAACCCAGAACATCCACATCACAATGGAGCAACCTTACCATTGCGCCAAGGTCTGCCCTCTATATTTCCATATTTCTTTACTAAAATGAGAAGAAAATAAGAATGAAGAAAAGGCGTACAAAGAAAGATATGAAGTTTCACTGCATAAACATAAAATAACAAAGTTGAAAATTAATCTTCTCTGTGATTAGATAAGAACCAGTCATCTTCCTAGCAGAAAAGATATACGAAGAGGCATAGCTGTGTAGCTTATCCAGACCTACTCGCATATAGCAGAGGGAAAAAAAATATGAACCGCAAACTCTAGTAGTTAAATTCACTCAATTTTATGAAACTCTGTTCTCTCTTAACACAATTCCGGGAAACACATCACTATTGAATTTATTTAGTCCAGTTAGGACAAAGGAGATCAGAATACAATTCAAATAGAAAGTCCAAAGGAATAAGAAGACTGTAACTTAGTTGTGGTGTCTCTTCACAAAGGGAAGAAAAGGAAACAAAGACACTACAGAAACTGTATAGGGGCAGTGTTAATATATCTCCTCTAATTTGCAAATTAATTCTTCAAATTTTCAGCCTGACAGATTTGAAGGAAACCTGATGCCCTCCTGCAAACATAACCTAGATGGATCACATACCTCTAAGGGCTTATTCATATCATCCTCTGACTGTTCAGTGCTACTACCGTGTTCAGTGTGGTGGAGTGAAGAAAGCATGTCCCATGGAAAGGAACTTGACTCAACATCCAACATAGAAGCTTTACCAAGTCTTTCCCACAAACTGATTTCTGTAGCTTGCTCAGAAGGCAGAGAACCTTTTGATTCAAGAAGTGATTCTCCTGCACTGTACCATGCAATCATAATGACAACTGGGTAACAAGGACCACATCAACATATTTAACTTAGGAAATGAAGCCACAAACATGTTTCATGTAAAGTGCAAACATAAATATATATATATATATATATATATATTGTCATTAAAACTATTTAATAGTAGCACCATATACATCATATTTGTAAATCTACTATGTAGTTTCAAGTCCTCTATTGGCATTGTTTTGGTGACTTGTTCCCAGTAATCATAGATTTAGCAGGGAGAAGGAAGATCAGGAGAAACAAGCAAGCAGGAGGATCATAAAACTGAACTTATTGACATTGATCAGACGCTTCCAAGATCTTTTAGACACTTGAGAACCTTTTATGATGATAATAACAAAATAAAAGAAAAACACAATTTATTATTTTATTTTATTTTCTATTTGTTATGATGTGCAACAAATGGTCTGAAAAATAGAAATACTCAAAACCAAGAAAAATGAAAAATGAACAAGCATCAAGGATAATTCACTATCCGACGAGCATTAGTTGTCCTAACTTCATCCAGCATTGTTCAGTGGAAGCCTCTCAATTATCAAAAGTTCCCCTTTTCTTCTCTTTCATACTACTTTGATCAAGGCCAATGGGACAATCAACAATGTTTATTTAAGGTCATAGATTACTAAGAGTAATGCATTCATGAATCAAGTAGAAAGCCAAGCCACCCAATAGTCCTGAAACATAAAATTCTAGATAGTAGAAGCAAGGGTACAACGGATCAAAAGATAACTAATCAATTTGCAAGTTTATCATCAAACAATTGAGAATAACTTCCATGTATGTACAATTCATCTTCAGATTTGACCTGAAGCTGCAGTGAAGCTGTAAAAAATAAAAAAATAAATCACCATTGAGGAGAAGATCTGTAGTGTCCCGGACTTTTTTGGATTTTTTAATTTTATTTATTCTTATTTATTTTGCACCTCATTTGCTTGTCACATGGGTTCCAGAGATCGTGTGGAACATTTCTTCGAGTTTAGAACTCTTAGAAATGCATTGTGGGCCATTTCGCCATTTTTTTTATTTTCGAATCCGGGAGGTTCCGTGTGGGCCCACAAAGTTTTTGAGCTCGGAAATTTTTCCGGCTTCATTAGCATTCTATTGTTTTCATTATTAGTACATAACTATATGTATATGTGGTAAGTTATAGGTTGATGGCATGTTTGTGGTTAATGTTGGCCTAAAAGGGCATTTTGTAATTTGAGGAAGGAGGTGGGGACCACCATTGACAAAAGTGGGTAAATGACCAAAATTAACAGATTTTTTGTCATTCTCTCTCTCCCTCTCTAGTTTTCTCTTCTTTTTCATTTAAACACAAACCCACCTCACAAAAACCTTGGATTTCACCTAGTTCTAGTTGGAATTGATCAAAGTGCGTGAAGGAAAGTTTGTTCGACGCATCAAGGCCTTCATTATGGTATGAAGGGCGTTTGAGCATTTCGGATTTTTGAGCTTGGGCTAGGGTTTGGATTTTGAGGTGGCTCTAGGAGGACTTGTTGACCTCCTCACCTTCTTCTACACATTGGTGGTGGTAGCTCTCATTTTGGTGGAATTTCATTCTTGGAGGAGCTAGGGTATTGGCATCAATCATGAGGTAGGGATGTCTAACACACTTGTCTTTGGTTCTTAGTGAGCATTTCTTGTTTCAATTGCATAGAAAAGCATGTTCAATTTGAGAAGTTTGATGTAATTGCTCTAGGTTTGAAAGTTTAACTATGAATGACATGTTCCTAAATTGTAAAGATGTGGATTTTGATGTTTACTTGTCTAATTATTTCCTTATATGTTGACAAGTTTGATTAGAAATGTGTTTATGATTATTGTAGTTGTATATAGAGAATTGTATACTTGATTTGACAATTATCATGCAAAACCATGTTATTGATGATCTATTATGTTTATCCTTATCATGCCCATTTAGGGGTGGCAATATTTGACACAACACGCTAACACAACACAAAATAAGAGGGTTTGGGTTTGGGCTAATCGTGTTCGTACCGTAATCGTGTCAACAAGGATTGACCCACTAACTAAATGTGTCGTGTTCGTGTGTGACCCTGCAGACACGATTATGACACGATTAACCCGATTAACTAAACATGTCTGATAAACGTATTGTGCTCGTGCCAAAAATGACCCATTTAGCTAAACATCTAGAATAAGCATGTCTTGTTCATGTAAAAAATGACTTAAATGTGTTTTTTCTTATCGTGTTAAGTTTTGACCCATTTATTAAATAGGTTACGCGTGTCATGTCGTGTTACACATGTAATAATCGTGTCGTGTTCGTGTCAATGGTCTTAGACACGATTAATAATCGTATCGTGTTCGTGTAGACCCTAATCGTGTTCGTGTCGACATGAACACAACACGCCAACACGAATTGCACCCCTATGTCCATTACTTGTTTGATAAAATGCTCCAACTAATGTGTATGCTAGTTTGGAGGAAATAGCATGTTTATGAGAATTGTGATGGTTATTCACTTTTAAATGAAATGATGAAAATATTCAATTCATGCATGGCATTGGCATGGTGTTAGGATTGGTTCGGTGGGTCAAGGATGAAATTGAAAAGAAAGGTTGGAAGTCGCAATCCGGTGGCTAATTCAACCTAGAGGGAGCACGTGTCGGACTTGGACGTGTATAGTTGAACTAACTAGGCCCCAAATGGTCGTTGGTTTTGAGATCAGGGATAATTAGTCAATTTCACCTCGGCAAAGTTGATTAACGGTTTTTTGGTATGGGTTGCATGAGTTTGGGTTGGAGTCGGGATTGCATGCATTGCATGGACCAATATAATTGACATTAATGATTTTGCTTTATGTGAGTTGTTGTGTGGGAATTATGTATTGTCTATGTATGTTTTCCCAAGTGTAGCTCAAGGGAGGCTAAAGTGGGTGTTTTAGGCATTTACTTACTGAGCCGTCGTGTTCACCTCATATATTATCATTTTCAGTAACCGGTAAGGAGGTAATAAAGGATGTACCCCCACAAGTGTAGATGGAAGGTCGAAGACTATGTAATACATTTTCGGGTGTTGATGCTTGTGTGAAACGATAACCATGAAGAAATTTTGTAATCCTTGCTATTTTTGTAGTACAAATGTTGTATGAGTGATCACATCCTTAGTTTTTTTTGTAAAGCTGTAAGCGCTTGAATGGACTTACGTATCCATGAGTCCCAAACGATGTAATTAAACCCGTTTTGATGTATACATGTTATTTCTTTATGGTCTACACGTCTATGATGACATTCAAGTGTATTTTATAGCGAGTCGAGACAGGTTTGCAATGGTCTAAATGATCAAATTTCATATGAGGGGTAAAACCACTTTTAAGTGAGCAAAAGAACCATTTCTGGGTTTTTAGGATTGATCCCTTGACCCTTGGGATCGATCCCAATACCTTGCACTAGTGGGTATGTAATTCTGATCTGTTGGGATCGATCCCAACCCACCTAGGATCGTTCCCAATTCCAAATTTTTGGAAAACTTGCACTTGTGTTACCGGTTGTTAACCAAACTTCAAATAATAATAACTTCTTCATTTCTAAACCAAATTAAGTCATTTTTAAGTCCAAATGAAGAATTTTGAGTCATCTTTCCATCGATATAAACCTCATATTATATAGTTGACTTGAAATTATCATTTTACCCTTTGTATGCCCTGGGCACCCGGAGTTGGATTCACCGCCCGTTAATGATCCAGATCCACCGGATTCGGGTCGTTACAAGATCATTGGTGGATAACATGGAGTTAGAGAGTTCAAATACATATCTACGTAGCCAACCCCAAGTAGTTGGGACTTGAGATTTGATAAGCACTTTGAAGAAGTAGTTATTATACTACGCGTTGCGAAAGAAGTTACTCTTAGGTGGTTAGGGCTTCATGTTGGCAAATTTGATAACAAAAGTTGGAGTCCGTAATTTTAATTTTGTTAAGTTACTCTGGTTAGGGTTAGTCATGTTGGCAAACTTCAAAATAAAATTGATAATTTGATCTCCATTATTTAACTCATTCCGTCATAGCTTTGACTTTTGTGAGAATTAATCATCTAACAATAACAACCACAAACTTGTAAAACAAAAAGGAAATACAGGGATTGTAGTACAAAGAATTAATGGAATCCAAAATCACATACTTGGCTTTGAACTCACAAAACTTTTACCTTCAGAATGGAAAGATAAATGATTATAATCAGGAAACTTTCACAAGTTAATTTAACAATATCTGAAAAATGGGTAGTTGGTTTTTCATTCCAGAATTACCAAATTAGCAGACAGTAGCATCACAAGTACTCCAATTAGTCACACACCAAGCTTGTGTATATAAAAACCCATAAACTAGTACAGAAGACCAATCAAATCAGTAGTGAGAACAACATTATTATGATGAAGAAGGGCGAAATAACCTCATGGGAACAGTATCCCCTTTGTGAGGTCGCCGTGGGAAGCCCGAGGAGCGATAGCTCCCACTGCGTTTACGAACCAATTCCAACCATTGTGTGAATCGATATGCTGGACCTGCCCAAATGTCCCCCAACATATACAACACCTGCATTCCATTCCCACAACCACTAAAAATTGAAAAATGAATATATATATACAGAGAGAGAGAAAGAGAGGGGGGAGATCATCTCTCTCTAGAAAATGCTATAAAAAAAAAAAATAGCAACTCACCCGGGAAGTAGCTGTGAGAGGCAATGGAGCCTCAGGTTCGTCAGATCCGAGATCGAAATCTTTCTCTTCCTTTTCTTTCTGAAGATTGAATGTGTAATTGCAAGGAGAGTTGATAAATTGCGTATATTATGTGTGTGAGTGTATATATGTGTGTGTGTTGTGTGGTGCAAAAGTTTAGAGAGAGAAAGAGAGAGTACCTGGAAAGTGTTGATGATTGGAGGAGGAGGGGGACGAGGGTCTTCTTTTTGGTGTTTGGCCATCGATTTGAAAGTACACTGAAAAGTTTAGAGAGAGAAAGTAATGGGTGTACTTTTTGTAGGGTTTGAAAAATTGGGTTCCCGCTTTTTCTTCTGATTGTGTCTGTTGATTAGGCACTCTTAGATTTTAGCGGCAATGGCTTCTCTGTTGGTAGTTTGGTTGCTGACTTGCTGGTGACGGTGACGACGACTATCGCTTACACGCACGCTCGCACTCACTCACTCACCCATGTGGGTCATATCATATAATGATTGCTAATAATTTAATATGGAGTATTTGGAGTTGCAAATAAATTGTATTAATTTAATAATGGGTATCGTTTGTTTATTTATTTTTTTTTTTTTGGGTTGAAAATATTGGAAAATACAGTAGAGTTTTTAACTATATATAATTATAAAAATAAAATTTTATTTTAAATTTGTAGGAAGTTTTAAAATAAAAATTACATATTTGTTTGTAATACTCTCTGTCCTAAAACAGATGTCATGCTTTTCTTTTTTGTCTGTCCCAAAATAATTGTCACTTTTAAAAAAAAAAACAATATATTTTACATCTTTCTATTTATATCCTTATAATTTAAATTTTAAAATTTTAATATTTAAAATTTAAAAGGGCAAATTAGTAACTTTCTAGAGAGACAAGGTATGTTCCAAGTATCCCTTTAAAAATTCCTATTATCCAAAAATGACCTCTAAAATGGGACAAAGGAGTATTCATTTTCTCTGTCCTCTGTTAATTTTAATTTTGAGTTGATAGAAAAATACAAAATAAAAAGGGAAGAAAAGGACTGATTTCCCTTCTCCCATCCTTCCAATCAAACATAGAAAAAAATTCTCGTAACTCCTTCTTATCCACCATACTTTCTCAATCCCTCACTCCAACAAAACACATCACTAAAGTTGAAAAATAGAATGAATGAACTCTGATTTTTTAATATTTGGAATTAATTATAAAATTCAAAAAGAAATTGAATTTAATAGGATTTGAAAATTTAAAATAAAATATAACATATTCAAATGAGTAACGTACTCTCTCATTTTTAAATTTAAATGTATTAAATAATTGATTTAATTTTTCACACATCTCAAACAATTATTTTATTTAACAAGAGATTTCATTATTCTTGTCTTGCGAACAACCTCTTCGAAACGTTACACTATTCAAATTTCATGAAATTTGGTGGAATCTGATAATATTTGTAAATTATTGAGAGATTTTGTAACTTATCTAATTTGTCCTTCTTTGCATTGCAATTCCTATAAAATAGGAAAGGAATGTTTCCTTTATAATTAAATTTTATTTTATTAAAAACACATAAATTGATTTTCATTTCGAAATTTGACTTGCTTGGTTTGTAATTATAAAAACAGTTTTCTATTCAGGGTCTGCTTGGTTGGTAACTTTGAGGATAGTTTTCTATTTTTAAAAAATTAAAAATTAAAAACTATACAAAAAACTATGCTTGGTTCAAAATTTTGAAAAATATTTTCTGAAAAACTTAATTATAAAAAGGAACTTGTTTTTAGAGAATTTCTTTTATAGTTCTCTTAAAATAGGTTTCTATTTTTTGAAATTTTTAGAATTGTTCTCAGAGTTACAAACCATATTTGGTTCAATTTTTTTTATTAATTTATAACTCTGAAAACAATTCTCAAAAACTTCTCAGAAATTGGAGAATAGTTTTCAGATAACTATAAAATATTTAAAACTCTAAAAACAGTTCTTAAAAATTCAGAAAACAGATAACAGTTTTCAGAAAACAATAAAAGACAGTTTTCTGAAAACATATCTATTTATAACTGAGTTTTCATAAAACTGAACCAAGGAGAATCTTTTGTACAGTTTTCTATTTTCAATTTTCTAAGAATAAAAAATTATTCTCAGAGTTACAAACCAAGCAGGGCCATTATATGAAAAACATATGCATTTTTATAACTGAATTTTGAAAAAACAATTTTTAGAAAACTGAACAAAACAAAATTTTTTGTATAGTTTTCTATTTTAAGTTTTCTAAAAATAGAAAATTGTTTTCATATTTACAAACCAAGCAAACGTTTTCTGAGAACTATGAAAGATTGTTCTCTGAGAACAGTTTTTTGTTTTCTGAATTCTTGATAATTGATTTCAAAATTACAAACCAAGCTGGCCCATTAATCATCTTTCATTTTCCAAATCCAATCCAACTGTGTTCATATCTTCCCACACAAAAAAATGATATGATTCCAAGTTTAGCATATTTAAAAAAAAAATTATTCCCGTTACATTTTATTTTTCAACTAGATTTTTTACACCAACTTCTCCTTTCATGTTTTATCTATTTACTTACATGCTACAGTGTAAAGTTACAAATAAATTCAATTATTTGTGAATGGTTCGCAATTAGCTCGTTTAAAATACAGTAAGTGTTCAAGTCCAATGTTTAGACTTGTTTAATAAATACGTCAATTTCAAATAGTGTTAGGTGAGCTCGTAAACACTATTTTCATATAGGCATGTATGCGTCCATTAACATAATAGGCTCATAAATACCTTTGTAAGTATCATATTGTGTTCGACTTAAATTAATGAGCGTAAACTAATAAATAGTTAAAAGTAATATCTTAACGACTATTATTACACAAGTGGTACTTTTCAAAAGTGAGACTATAATTTGGCTTTTGTGTTCATGATTTTAATTTGGTTAATTTGGCCACATAGAAGACTGATGGAAGGATCTAATTGTTTTATTTTATTTTATTTTTTACAGAAATGGAAGGATCTAATTGACTAATCTTATATTTGTTTCGTTTAAACTTTAAACTAAGAATATCTAATATATTCATAATGTGACAAGTGAATATATAACGTGGAGAGTGAAATTTGCTATTGTGGGGCTCGTAACATGATGGGCCCCACATTGGCTAATAAAACACTGGTTGTTGATAGTGAGTGTTAAATGGTGGTATTTGTGTAATAGTTTCACTAGTTATAAAGGGCAATTTGGATCCAAAGTGAGAAAATTGCGTATTTACTATTGCAATTTTATTATTATTATTATTAGTGTTTACATTCTAATAATTAGGCTCCATAAGTTGTTTTAAATTAAATTAACCTAAATTGGTACACTTTTGGAATAGGCTTCATTTTTCGTTATCACTGCTCTTTAAATGAGCCTATTTGAATCAATGCAAGCAGGTTCAAATAATCTGGACCGGAAGAGATCGGATGTGAATAGAAAGTGATGGGATGGAGAAGATACCGTGATATGTCCAGTTCAACTGTTCTCGAATTGGAGATAAGTGTAGAACAATCTAACAATAATATAATAATATAAGGTTTATGGAAACCCGTCCGAGACCCAACCCATGGTCCCCATTGCATGCCTGGTTACATGTTTGGTTTTTCTTTTTTGCAAAAGACTTGTTTGACAACTTAATTCGTCACTTAATTTTGAGCGGGTTAAATGCTTATCCAACTAAGTATGTTTAAGTTACATTGTGATCGCAAGTGACTTATCAACTGATTCGTAACTCTTTTTCAACGATCCGATACTATTACACATTTCCATGAATTGATTGGTTTATAATGATTTCACCCAAATCCGTTATACCGCGACCACAAGCGATACCGCAATTGCGAACCACAATTGATACTTATGTATTAGTATACTAGTCTTATGAAAATAGAGGGAAAAAAAAAAAAAAAGATATTGCAGCTACAAGATGAATCTAACGGAATCTTCAAGGCACATATATAAAACTCATATATTTTAAATATACATATAAATGAAATTGCAAGAGGGCTACTCTTGGAAGTCACGAGTTCGAAACAAGGTTTTACTCGTCTGCATGTTTCTTTCCACGGCAATGCCTGTGTTTCATGTTGAAGGAGAAATACACAGTAGTAGGGCAAGTATTCCATGGAATTTCTGATCTCATAGTGACAGCAAAATCCTTATCTGAACCTTGAAGCAGCAAAAATGATACAACTAATATAAATCATTGGCCTTCTTCCTCAAAAACTCATTTCTGTATAACACTGAACATGCACTGCGCAAAAAAAGTGTCAAAAGATCACAAAAAGAGGAAAAACTTGTTACCTCTCATTTTTGCTTTATACTAGCAGGAAATATATAAATTCATATTTCCTTGAATACACTATTGTTATTCACATTACTTGAGCATCTCTTTACCTTACACACCATGAATAAATAACATTGAACAAAAAATAATTTAAAGTGAATGTCACAGGAACACGTATATTGGTGGATTTCTCTGGTCCCTCTCTCTAATGTAATCTGTAACCGTATTAAAAGTCCCATTACATGAGGATGAGAAGAGATTCTGGAAAAAATGAAAGAACCGTTTTTTTTTTTCTTTCATAAATGAATGAAATTACTTTTAATAATAATAAAAACAAAAAAAAACGGAAGTCGTGTGAGTGTGAGTGTGAGTGTGAGTGTGTGTGTGTGATAGAGAGAGAGAGAGAGAGAGTGAGGAGGGAGATCTAGACACTCATAAGAATCTATAAATGTTTAATCTCAATAGATGAGTCATCTTGAAACCACATAGGGAAACGGCAGGAAAACTGATAGTCTAATACATTGATGAAATAAATGTGAGATAAGACTCTGTACATTGACAAAATTTGGTGTCAAAACTAGTCTGATCGAATTGTAATTTTGAGTTTTAATCTTCAGTCTCATATCAAAAGCTGAATCAAAATATTGGGAAATGTGCAAGCACAATCCGTTTGGATGAGAACAACATATTAGTTAAAGGTTTGTGCGTGAGATCACTTGAGTTCAATTCATTTTTGGCAATTTTTAGGTCTAAGGCATTTTTGAATTTGTTAAAAATTCATGTCTGTAAAAAAAAATGGACCGTTCCAACTTTCTTGGACCGGCCCAGGTGGCTTGAATCTTTCAAATTTGAAACTGCCAAAAATGGACCGGTCCATCTTTTCCTGGGCCCAAGTTGCTTGAATCTTTCAAATTTGAAACTGCCAAAAATGGACCGGTCCATCTTTTCTTGGACCGGTCCACCTTCCCTGGAGCCAAATTAGAAATTGAAGTATTAGTTCAATTTGGTTTCCTTTTTTATCAGATTTTAAGGAGCATTTTTTCTTTTCTTTTTTTTTTTTTCACTAAATAAACTTGTTTTCCAAGTATTTTCAGTGTTCTTGCGACTTTTGAGATCAAAATTTTCATACAATTTTGAGAGAGCCTTTTTTTGAGATTTTTTCTGGGTGTTATTATCTTTCCATTTTAGAGCACATAATTAAACACAAGTGATTTAGGTTGATGTTCTCATTCTGATCGAGATCCAAGCAATTGAAGATTCATTCATATTTCGTTCGGGCTATTTTTGCCTTCACAAATTCAGAATTTGAAATAAGGAGGATTTGATCTAGCTACGGAAGGGGCAGAGCATTTGTGGAGTGTTTTGTGTTCTACTAGTAACTTGTTATAAGGGTCATTTGTCTCACATCAGATTCGGATAGAAAAATAATTTGGTATAAATGAGTGAATATGCAGTACTACCTAACAACTTGAGTTTTAGGTAAATAGGCAAGTGCCCACCTATTACACAACCCTTTTACAAGGATTGAGGAGTAAGACTAAAGCCTGTATCAATTCGACGGGGAGTCACAAGAGTATCTTAAGGCGTTCAACTCTAGAACGGAGTAGGTGTGAGCCTCAGTGAGAGTTTGTTACTTAATATTTTTTTTTTTTAAAGTAAATTTTTTTTTTTTCTTTACATTCTAATAATTAGGCTCCCTAAGTTGTTTTAAATTAAATTAACCGAAATTGGTACACTTTTGGAACAGGCTCCATTTTTGGTTATCACTGTTCTTTAAATGGGCCTATTTGAATCAATGCTAGCAGGTTCAAATAATTTGGACTGGAAGGGGTGGGAAGGGAGATGTCACCTTTTTGAATTGATCGGTTTACAACAATTTCATCCGAATCCGTTACACTACGATTGTAAGCGATACCGCAAATGCAAACATTTCAAGTTGCTGAGAATTGCAGTGTCACGTTATCCTTTGAGTCTAGTTTTCAAATTATTTTTGTTTGCTCCATTTCGATTTAAAATTAATTTTCTATGAATTTATAACTAATTACAGTGTAGATTTTGTTTTGTAGATGATTGTAATGTGTTTAAGTTGATAATTATTGGAGTAGCGTAGTGGGATTTTGTTTGTGGTTATTTGGGTTGAAGCAGGACCAAGAATGGTTTGATTTTATTTGGATGGTTCTTTGAAACTTGTTTTGTCATAACTCCTAATTTCGGGTCATTACAGTTTGTGTCAACCAAACAGTGCCTTAATGGCTCTTTGGTTCAATTATTTTGAGGAAAAAAAAAAGAAAAAAGAAACCAAAATAACTCAAAAATCTGATTTTTAGCTTTTATTTCAGCCATGACCTTTCAAAAATTAATTGATTATTTTTTGATATATTTTGTCAAATAATTATTATTGTTGGTATAAAAATAATTAGACCAATTGACAGTAAGAGAAAAATTAAATAATTAATGACCCAAATAAGAAATTTAATTATAATTCAAAAATACATTTAGAAGTCTGAAAAATATGAAAGAGAGTCGGAATAGAAATCAACGGACAGACACTGGAATCATCTAAGGGAGATTTTGGGCCAAAGCAGGAAATGGGACAGAGTCTCTAAACAAGTAGGCCGGCCCAAGAGAGGTACCCAAACCCATTACGATTCCTGATCCTTCTCCAGAACTCCAACCAGAACAAGGATTGATTGTGCGGCACGGTACTTCTCCTATATAAGAAAGTCCGTCTAATCTCAATCACATAATCTCATCGTCGTCGTAGTCAATTGCCACGCCACAACCTTCTCTCTCTTCAAAACCCTAAAATTTGTTCCCACGAATCTCATCATCAATTGCCACAACCGACTCTCTCTTCTCCTTCAAATGGCATCATCGAGACTGTTGGAAGTTTCGCCCAATCGATCCTTCTATCTTCACAGACACAAACCCTAATGTCAATTACTCCACCTGCTGCTGCTGCTGCAGACTCCTCTCTCTTCACATCCCTTCAAACTCAGGTCTTTGGAGCTGTTGCAGAACTTGAAGAAATTAAGCACAAATTCTCTCGTGGGTACAAAGATTATGCAATTATTGCCGCCTTTGCCAACAAGCTTAAAGAAGCCGAGAGGGTTCTTGACATCATCGACAATGGTGATTCTGATTATCGCCGCCGCCGCACCAAACGATTAAAAACAACTGTTGCTGCTAACATGAAGCCCTGGCACTTGAACCAGTAGAGACACCCCTGCACTCACCCCAACCCCCACCCAATGTAAACTAACATGAATGTATTTGACATATATTTTATGAATGAATTTCTGTTAAATGCTCATATACCATGTTTTTTGGTGGATGCTTATACTATTTATTGACTCAATACTTCAATAATGGTTCGCCTCGCTTACGTCATCATTTAATCAAGCGTGAATGCTCATCTACACTGTTTGTTAATGCCGTATTTGTGTTTAATGGGAGCACAATCTCCCTTGTCAATCTAAGTTAGCATTTAAGCTCTCACGTACGTGACACAACATGAATACGGGTCGAAAAAAAAAAAAAATAACTTTAAAAATAAAAATTCCAATCTATGAGATAGATGAAAACCTTTTCTTTTACCACATTTCATTTACTTTGAATTGAAATTACTCTGAATAATAATTAAGTATGTTCTTATAAATTAATAACATTAAACATTACATTATAGTAAAAATATAATGAATTTAAATGCATGGAGGGGTTTGACATTTAGACGATACAAGTAATCTCAGTTTCTTAATAGTTTCTTGTGGGTTGTGTTAGGTGAAAATTTAATAAATGAGAACAGTGTTTTTCTTTTTTAATTTGCTATACTATCATTAGTTCAGCTCAAAAATAAAAATTATTAATAGTATTAGTCCATCCCAAAATAATGGCCCGAACCAAAAATAGCCCATGGATGATGAGCCACCAAAAAACAAAAGAAATTTTAGGGCGAATCATTTCAGTCTCCCCAATCGCCTCCATCAAATCCCACCCATATCTTTCAGTTTCCATCGCCCGCTGTTTCGCCGCTCGCAAGCTTCAGAAATCGTTCGTAGAAGTTTTTTGCCGGAGATCAAACGTTGAACAGCGAAAACTGAAGACGAGATCACAGAGATTCAAGAATTTCGAAGAGCATCATCAGATTCATCACCGAAGAAGAGCTCGAGTCCAAGCTAGGTTTCGATCTCTTCACCAAAGGCAAAAGAACGCTTCGATTGGCTGCTCACGCTCGCGTCGGTGAGTCAATTCAATACCCTTCCACGAAAATTCTTTAATTGAATCACGCAATCTTTTTTTTTTTTTTTTTTTTTCTGGTATCTCGCGTCGGGCAATGAATTGTTGTAATTAATTTAGATCACGAATTTAATTTAATTTTTTATCCAGGATTGTTTTACTGTCATATCGAATTATAATGTATGGGTTTTGTCCTAATTTTTTTTCTTTTCTAAATAAACTAATCAAGGTCTGTAATTCTTGTTTTGCAAACTAAATCCTATTTGGTGAAATTTTTTATGATCTTTTTTATATAATTTTTTTATATATTTTATTTTACGAATTTTAATTATAAATATTTGTGAAGATAGTGAGTGAAACAGGATCTCCCTATGCAGGATTTGAAAGACTAATTGGTAAATTTGGGTTGAACTTGAGTCTTGAACAAGCTGAACTGCTGAAGGCCAACAAATTGGAGTGCCAGGGCCGGCCCGCCTTATGTTTCTTAAATTTTAGACGACACAATCTTCGTCGACATATGTTTCTTTCTGTCGTTCATCTCATCATTTGATTTGTTCTAACTTTGGTTCGTTTGATTCGGGCCTTTACCTTTGTTCCAATAGTGAAAAGTAGCTAGGGTTTTTTGTGTGTGTCACGCTGTGTGATGGCTATCAAAAGCTGAATGAATGAATATATATTATGGTTCTCTTAGTATTTTAATAAATTTGTGCCTTTTTACATGTGTCTTTCATGGCGATCGAGTCCATAATCTATGGCAGGCACTTTTTTTTTCCTCCTCTCCCTAATTCCACTCCAATCTCACAACAGCAGCAACCATACCCCTTTTCCTCATAAGTTTTTGCATTTTCACATTCAATCCTACGAAAATTAAGAATCCCTTCTAGTGGGTTGAGCCACTGAGGTAATAATTAACTTTTTCGATCTCTAAATTATGCTCATACTTAAAAGTGCCAAATTAAGGGGTTTTTTTTTATATTTTATTTTTATGTTAAGATGCATAGCACCGTTATTGATGTTATTTGAAGTCGGCTCAGCTAGAATTTCAGTTAATTATACTGTCAAAGCACTTGCCATCAGAATGTACAAACACATGGAAATCAAGAGCGGGCTTTAACAAAACAAAAGTTAATGGTTTTTTCTATTAATTTGCACAGGCCTTCTGTAGCAATGATCAATCAATCACTGCTACTAAAGTTGATTCCTCATCCTGAAATCAAGAAAGGGGTAATTGGCTCCCAAAAAAAACACACAAAGTGTAGTTAATATAAAGAGTGAAAGACAAAACTATATATGATAGTGGATGCCACATATAACCTAAAAGTCCCACTACTTCTTCAGCACTACAAGTTCAGCCTCCTATATATATATAGTCACCTCACCTCCCCATATTTTTGTCATCTGTAATCATCAAATTTTAGCAGCTATATAAACAATGAATGCAAAAAAGAAGCTGCAGTTTTCTATTCCTCATTTCCACTTTTGGACTATATTTTGGATACTCTTTTTTGTCTTCTCTCCTCTCCTCCAGATTCCAGTGAAAACTTCAGCCAAGAGATCATTCGACCAAACTGCTTGATTTTAGATATATATTTTGTATATTATATTTATGGTATGATAAGCAATGCTTAGTTATTATTGTTTCTGTTTGATTCTCCGTTTGATTCTCCATCCGTTTTAAGTTAATTGTGATCTTCTTTCACATTCTAGCAGGACACTCTTCTTAGGATCTCGTGAGATTATTTGCCTTGAGCATGAATCAAATCATTGCATATTGAGGTAATATATATTTTCTTTAAACAAAGCAAATTATTATTATTATTTTTTTGAAGTCTAGTTTTATGTTGATTATGGTTCCTGTTATTTAGATTTCAAGAGATTTCATTATGTCTACAAGAAAATTTGAATCTGGACATGAAAAAAGGAAAAAAAAAAAAAAGGAAGAGAGAAGAAGAATTGATTCAATCTTAAAAAGGAGATATTCTTAAGTTTTTTAGGAGTAATACACAAACAAAGAGTTTAGTTAAAGATTTGGTGAATGAAGAACGTATGAATGCGAAAGCAAATGAAGAAAATCTCAATGAACATGAAGATTTAATGAATGAAGATCATAGGAAGTTAGTCAATGAACATGAAGATTTAATGAATGAAGATTATAGTTATTAGTTAGTTGTCTTATGCACAATGAACATGTGCACAATTATATTAGCTATATAATTTGAAAACATGGTATGAAAATTCCGCACTCATATAATTTTTTTTTGCGCGTGTGAAACTTAAGGGCCTAATATTTGAAAGTTCGCCTAAGGCCTCTCAAAATATTTGGAATCTCAGGGCCGGCCCTGTGGAGTGCTTTCATCGCTTTAGACTTTCCCGTCAAGAGCTACTTAGAAAGTCTTACCTAAACTCTTTCGACTTAATATGAGAAATCCTATAAAACAACAAGCTACTATCATTTATTCATTATAGATTGAGATCTTCTTCGAACTTGATGCATAAATATATTAAGTGTAAAGCACAACAAATTGGATCAATTGATATTCTAGGTAAGTCATTTCTTCAATTATTCAATATATATAAATATTTTTTTATTCTAGATTTTTTCATGCTAATAATAAATTGGATGTTAACCACATAAAGCATAAATCTGTCAATTAATATGGGCACCCAATTGTATATTTGTATATGAAACAAAGTAAAATATAAAGTAACAAAATTTGTTATATGAAACAAAGTAAAATATAAAGTAACAAAATTTGTTAATATATACACAACAAAATTACTTAATATAGGGTTTGGTTGATATATTTTGATTTAGGTAAATTACTTAAAATTACTTGTTTTGCAAACTAAAATAGAATTAAACAACAGTTGGTTTTGGTTGATATATTTTGATTTAGGTATTTTTAATCTAACTCATTCTTTAATTTTATTAGGTTAAAAATAATAATGGTTAAACATCAACCTTCAAACATGAAAGTGAAAAGTATGTCTATTCTCTCATTCTATCAAAAGAAAGGCCAAATGAGTGATGATGGTCAATCGAAAAAGGATATACCTAGTGGTAGTGCATATAATATTGACGATGATCAATCGGAAAAGGATATATCTAGTGATCTTGATTTGCAACCTCCTGCCCTACCTCAAGTTGTTGAACTCAATCAACTTCACTCCACTTCTATTGAAAGAGATCTTGGGTTACGTATTCAAATACATGAATACCCAGTAAATCAAATGGACGAGGTTAGACAAGCTTATATCAATTTGGGGCCTTATCAACCTAAACTTTCCAATTATCCTAACTATTGGGATGTAAAACAGAATCGACGATTTAAGTAAGAAAGGTTCAAGCAATTTCCTTGGCTAGAGTATTCTCCTTCAAAAGATGATTGGGATATTTTCCTTGCCAATGTGTTGTCATTTTGCAATCGACATAATATTGATATACCTGATTTGTGTTCTCGTTATATAGAGGGTATGGGTCGTCATTGTTAGCAACAAGATCATATTACAGTTTAGCATCATTATCACTTTGACATTTTCAACTTTGCAATAGATTTACAGTTGATGGAGTTAGAACATAGATTTCAGAATAGGGTTGTTTCATTTCCTATTTTTCCATCTTTTTCTCAAACCGCACATGCCTTGGTTAGTGTTTCCAATAAACTTTGGCGTGCCAAACTTTTATAAAAATTCTCAAACCAGACAGACATATAGTCGCTTCACTGATTAGAGGATTAGTGAAGCCCCTAATCTCTCTCTCTCTCTCTCTCTCTCTAGGTTACATCTCTTTCGAAGCCCTCGCTGACCTCTCTCTCTCCCCTTCCAAACCCTCACAACTGATTAGGTTCTGTTCTCTGGTCGCAGTCTCTCTCTCTCTCTTTCTCTCTCTCTCTCTCTCTCTCTCTCTCTCTCTCTCTCTCTCTCTCTCTTCTTTTAATATATTTTTATTTCAGTATGTATATACATACATACACTTGTAAATATAAATTTTGAGATTATTTATGCTGATATTCTATTTTCCTACTAATCCTTGCAAGCCTGTTTGTTTTTGGGGTCTATTTGTACTACATACAACCCATTTGGATAAGGTTCGAGACTTGATATTCAATTTTCCTTTTCTGGTTGTTGTAATTGATATCATTTTCTTTGCTTTCAGTTTATTTTTCTGAATCCTATATTTATATGTGTTTTCTTGCTGATTATATTATATTTTGTTCTGTTCTGATTTGTGTTTTGCTGAACCTAATCTGATTGATGTACCTCTAATATGTATATTTGTTGTGTTCTGATCTTATTCCTTTTACTCAAATTGTTAGATAGAATTTCGGGAATTTATCTTGTAATGGTATGGAAAATATCTGTTTTTGGGCAGTTGGTTGATTGTTGATGACATTTTCTCTGTGGAGGAAAATTATCTCTACGTGAAAAAGGGTTTTTATTTTATTTTAATTATTCTTCTAAATTGTTAATAGCATGCAATGGAAAATAATCAGATACTAGGTTTCATAATCATATAGCTAGATACAAATATCTTGTTATGCCTTTATTCGTGCGATTAATATGAAAAGTCGTCTTATGCCCTTACTCATGGAATTGCAATTAGATTGTGTTGTTCATAATTATCTCGGACTCACATCAAGTGTTGTCTCCTAAGTAAACAAATCTAACTTCCGTGTCTAACTATAAGACAATCTTGGACAATTGTAGGCTCAGTTCATAACTTGTACATTATGGAGTAGAAGAAATTTAACTGGGTTGTTGATGAATATATATATATATATATATGTATGTATGTTTGTAAATTTGTTTCTCTGGTGTAGAAGAAAATTAATTGCAGATAGCATTTTAATGTACATTATCATGTTCCTGTTTTTCCTATCCTTCCCTGTCTCATATTTTCTTTTCAATTAGAATGAGCCGATCACTAGCAACCTTTAAAAGGAAAAGAGAAGACTCAGGTTCTGCTCAGACACCTGAGGGTAAAATATTAAATCTGATAAAAGGTAAAGAAGATATGGGAATCTGGAAAGGAGACTTGAAACGAGAAACAAATCTCCCTGATAAAGAGGTTGATAAAGTGGTGAAGTTGCTCCTTGCCCAGAAACTGATAAAAGAGGTGGTGAACATCCAAAGCAAGGGGAGAAAGCTCTATATGGCAACAGAGTTCGAACCGTCAAAGGATGTAACTGGTGGTGCATGGTATGTTGGGGGGAATCTTGATACAACTTTCATTGGTGTTCTTAAAAAAGCATGCGAAGGAATCATACGCAAGTTGAAAGTTGCGACACTAGAGGCAATCACTGACTTCTTCAAGAAGAATAGAATCACCAAGGATGAATGCACGCCACAACAAATTGCGCAGATACTTAGGTCTATGGTTTTGGATAATGAGATTATTGAGGTGAAGAGCACTGGATTAGGAGAATATGCTTCTATTCCGATGGGAACAGTTTGTTATAGGAGTGCAACTGGGCAAGGCCCAAAAACAGGGGCCATGGCTTCAATTCCATGTGGGGTTTGTCCCAGGATTACTCAGTGCTCACCTGATGGCCTCATCTCCCCGCAGACTTGTGTCTACTTCACGAAATGGTTGGATATTGAATTTTGAATAGTTTTAATTAATTAACTTCCTAATTCTTAATACTACCATCAGAAATCATACGATCCTCGAGTATCCGCTTCGGTGCATGTTATGACAGAATTCACTGCATTCCTTGTCATGCTATGGTACAATCTCAATCATGGCTTGTAATAATAATAAATAAACTGAAAATTCAAAAAGACTAACAAAACGATCTACAGTCTTCAAAAGTTCATAAATTTAAACAAAGTAGAAGATATTTTCAATTCTTGTTCTCCATTTTATGTTCTATTTCTTATTATAATATTTTTTATTTATTTTTTATTTGGGGTGCATTTGAAGTGACTGCACCACCGCCCAACATCTATCAGTTGATAGTGTTATCAATGTGCGTCGATATTTCATCCTTTTTAAAAACAAAAGACAAAAACAAAAAGCAAGATCTATTATGCATTGAAATGAGAATACTTGAGCCTCTTATTCTTAGTATCAAATATTCTCATTTCAGCAAGCATGGGAACCTCAATTTGTATTCAACATACTGAGAGAATAAGAGGCTTTAAAATCATTCAGCAAAATAAAAAGAAATACAAAAGCAAAAAATACTAACTCTTATGCAGAGCCTCTGGCGGGGAATCGGGATAGATCAACAAAGAAGAAAGTTTCATATTACAATGGGTTGTGTGGTGGTGGTGGTGGAGGGTATGTCTGGTTGGTGGGTGGGAAGCAAAAAAGGAATTTGTATGGGTGGGCTCAAAGATAGACGAGCAAAGGTTCCATTCTGTTGCAATTTCTTCTGCAAAGGGACAGTCACATTTTTTTGACAGAGAAGAGCTTCAAGCGGATTGCATTGATCGCCGCATTCATTGTTTGTAGCGGAGGTAAAGATCTATTTTTGAAAATTCTATTATTTCTCTCCTTCCAAACATGATACACATAGCTAGCCAAAGTTAGCTTCCAAATCATGACCCTGTTTCCCTTTAGCTTTTGCTTCCAGTTAGAAATGCCCGAATTAGGAAATCATTCCATGAGTTAGGGTTCATATAGAAGCCACATTTTTGTTGATTTTGGAAAACTCACACTGATGGAATAAGTGTTCATGGTTCTCTGCAGCTTTGAGGCACAGTATGCAAACATTTGGTTGCATTGTGAAATGGACTGCTAGCTTGTCTTGAGTGAGCAGCTTCTCTTGGATGGCTAACCATATGCAAAAGGAATGTTTTGGGATTGCATGTTTAAATCAGGCGAGTTTGTGCCAGAAAATAAATGGGATTGGTTGTGTAAGGGCTATGAGTGTATGTTTAAGGGAATAGGTTTTATTGGGAGATGGAATCCATTGTATGGTGTCATTGGTGCTAAGGTTAGGGAAAGGTAGGTTAATGATGTCACAATGAGGTGAGACTAGGTTAGATATATTTTTAGGCCATGACCAGTGGGTGTTTGTGAGTAATGCTGAAACTTTTATGTATTTGTTGATCATCCAGCCTTGTCTATGGTAAGAGTTAGAGAATACCTAATACAGAGGTTCACAAGGTAACCAATTGTCAAAGAACACCTCACTTAGGGATGCCCCTAAACTCTATGAGACTCAGTGCTATAGATTGTAGAATCTTAGTTGAGAGAGTCACAACTAGAATCAAATGTTGGACATCTAGATTCCTATCGTATGCAGGCAGGCTGCAGCTCATAAAATCTATACTTCTCAACATGATTAGTTTCTGGTGTGGTCTGTCAATCCTTCCTAAAATGATTATCAACCAACTCAACAATGTGCTAAGGAACTTCCTTTGGACTAGTGTGGATTTGAAAGCTACTGGTGCTCAAGTTGCCTGGTGGAATGTGTGCAAGCCTAAAGACTTTGGGGGTATAGGAATACCTCACTTAGCTGCTCTTAACCGTATCTCCATGCTGAGACATATCTGGAACTTGTTCAAAGTTGAAGGTCAATCCATTTGGTTCGAGTGGGTTCATGAAAACCTTATCAAGGGTCGCAGTTTCTGAATTCTGAAGCCCCCTCAGGTGTGTTCCTGGAATTGGAGGATGCTCCTCCATCTGAGAGGTCTTGCTAGACCTTTTATCAAGCACTTGGTGGGGAATGGGAATGATGTTTCTCTGTGGCATGACTACTGGCTCCCATTAGGTCCTCTTGACTCCAGAATTGATCACAACCTCATTGCTGGCTCTTAATGGGAAGATTGGGCGAAAGTCCAGAGATTGATCAGGCATGAGCAATGGAGACTTCCTCGGCTCTTTAGAGTATTAGTTCCTTCCATTGGGACCATTGAGCACCTTCATGACCTGAGTGTTAGATCTCAAGACTCTGTTGTTTGGACTCTTTCCTTTACGGGTAATTTTCATTTTGCTACTACCTATAGAGCTCTCATTTCTCCATCTCCAGGTGTCCCATGGCACTTGGTTGTCTGGTTTTCTAAGCATATTCCGCGATTCTCCTTCATTACATGGGTCGCTCTTTCTCATAAGCTCAAGACGAGGGACAGTCCTGCTCTTACAAAGAAAATTGCCCCCAACTATTGCTCGTTGTGTCTTGCTGCAGCTGAAACTCATCATCATCTTTTCTTTAAATGCCAGTTCGCTTCTGAGATTTGGATAGTTTTCCAACACCTATGTGGTATCTATGTTGGAGACAACAACTTATTTGAGAGCACTAATTGGATCGTGTCAATGTGGACGGATGGTACCAAGGCTCCAGAAGCATATGTTTTTAAATTATGCTTACAACTTCAGTTTACTTCATCTAGAATGAGAGGAATAGACGGTATGCTTTGAATCAATCAGCTTCCACTGCTACAATCACTAAACTCATTTACAATAGTGTGAGGAATCGTCTTATGTCTTACAAGTTGAAGAATTCGAGGTCTGCGAGGTCTATTGCTGCTGCATGGAGTTTGCCTTCCTCGGTGTTTCATGGTGATCCTTGATGGTGTGCCCTGTATTGCCTTTGCTTCTGCTTGTGTTTGCTCCCGGTTGCAGTTGCAACGTTTTCTTTTGTTCTTGGGTTGGGCTGTTTGTAGCCTTCTTGGGTTGTAGCCTTTGGGCCGTGGGCTTTTTGCTCTTCCTTGTATAGCTTGTCTTTTCCTTTTAATAAATTGATTTACCGAAAAAAAAAAAAAATTGCCAATGAACACCATTTATTTAGGTTTATTGTACGTCATCTAGTCGTTGTATTCTTTGGTTAGATGCATGGTATATTCCTCGAAGAAAAAAAAAAAAGAAAAGTAAAAAGGAAAAAAAAAAAACTCACACTAGAAAAGATACTCTTTATTTGCATTGGATTGTTTCAAAAATGTTTCGGTTGTAGGAAAACACGTAAGTGCCATGGGATCAATGAAGAAAGGAGGCTCCTATTGAGTATTCTTGTTTTTTTTTCATCTTTTAAATTCAACAATACTTTTATAAGTATAAAAGCCCACTTCATCACATAATATGATATATTGTTCGCTTTGGACATGAGGCCGTACCATTTTGTTCTTAAATTTTACTTCCAAATGCCTTATATCAATTATAGTGTGCAAATTCTATATATATAGTACTCCTTCTTTCCACACTAAGCTAATGTGGGATTGTGCACCCGTAATTCGTCCAATGTGGGAGTCTACTAGTGCCTCTTTCACCCTCCCACGACACACCCATGCACAAGGTGTAATACCCCTAAATTTTCGAATACGGGTTGGCCAGGCCCACGTCCAAATACCCAAGGATATCAAAAACAAATCGACAATAAACGAACACAGAATACAAGAGGATAAATAAGAATAAATAAAAATGCTGAAATGAACACTAAAATGCTAATCCAATAAATCATTAGAATAAATTTTCATTAAATAATAAAATATTCTGATACAACGAATCTTCCAATACAACTCGGGAGTCTATACTGTGTGGACCCCTAGAAAATTACAATTGAATAAGTACTCATAATAACTATCTATATTTAAAAGATAAAACATAAATGAATCTCCTAAGTAGACTCGGAAGAGTGGAGTAGACCAATCCCTACTCAGCACGAACAATCCTCTACACCTGAAGAACGCCTAAAAAATAATGGTGGGTCAGGCCTACAAACAAGTTCTACTCTAGTACAGTCCAAGCAGAGATTCGATACACGTACACATCCTAATCAATCCAACAATAACTAATAGTCCATACATATATATATAAATACACACTAAAGGAACCTCACTAGACTATAGGGTTGCCTCAACCTGAATAGTAGGCAACATGCAAAACGCACATATAGTGGACATGAGTACCTAGACCTACCAGGGCACACAGCTACACTATATCTAGCTATACATCCTTGGCAATATATGCGCCCTAACCACTGATCTTGAGACTCAAACTCATATCATGGTACTATAACTATATACATAAAATCCAGTAACCATCCTATCCAGTATAAAGTAATACTCTACAAGTAATCCTCTATAAGTCATTCAACTTGTTCAGCTAATCTGACTTGAATATAAGTAGGACTTAACATTTTAGTTAATCCATTCCCTTATACAAAATAGATAGGACTTAACTGATAAGTTAATCCGTCCCTAAAGTGCCACCATCCCATACTGGTGCACTACTCCACATAATCCAATAATCGATGTAACAAATAAAATAATACATCAATTAATCCAACAATTAACATAATAATAGAATATCATGCTATCACAAAATAGGAAAACTTAATAAACCTCTTTAAGCTTCTTACATCCTGTATCCTACACAAACTGAATCTTAAATATGCTGATATTTATTTTATAGCTAAGTAAGCATTCTCCATATACAATTCATGCTACACATTTAATCATATTTGCTAGAACAAAATAAAGATTAAATTCATTCCTTCCTCAAAGAATTCAAATAGCATGCATTGTTGTATTCTAGTCTGTTTCGAATTTGTTTAAACTCATCCCTAGTCCTTATTTAATATTCAGGACCCTTCAAAGTCAATTAAGATTAATTTAAACGTTTTTACGTAAATTCTCCAGGTAAGGCTCGAGCTTTTATCCTAATTTCTCGAGCTTCCTGCCCAAGGCTCGAGCTTCCTGCTTCAGGCTCGAGCTTTACATCTAAGGCTTGAACTTTCCTTTTCAGGCTCGAGCTTTACATCCCAAGCTCGAGCACTGTTACGCGAATCTACCCAGAAACCCTACTGTGAATTTATTCTTTACTGTTTAAGGATTTTAAGGCATGTTTCTAGATTCCATCAACCCACAAATATGAAAATACATC